ATAAGGGGGACTTTGTACTGTGACGGTGGCAATAGACTGCGTTCCCGCCTTATGATTATCACGGTAGATAATTGCACCAACAGGTGTCTTATTTCTAAGATCCAGTGGTATAAGCACAACACAGTAACCCTTCGTAACTAACCACTACCGGCGTTCTATTTGACATTCAGAATATCTACATCTAGTCCTTTCGTGTTCCAGAAATAACACTCGAAAACTTCCAACTCACTCAGCAAACTGCCGACCACAAACTGTCTTTCATAAATAGCCATTGGTAGTTTGTTTTTAGTGTCCCAGAAATAACACTCGAAAACTTCCAACTCACTCAGCAAACTGCCGACCACAAACTGTCTTTCATAAATAGCCTTTGGTAGGTTTGTTTTTAACTCGCAGAGTGCCGGTGCCCAACTTTCGGGCCAACCAGAACGAGCTACTCTTTCCTAAGAGCTGTAACAACGCTACAGAGGCAAGTGATGCTCAGTTGAGCAAATCGCCTGATCTGATGATGATATCTGCTGATAGTTCTCGGCACTTGTCAGCCAATAACGTCTCCGTGGTGCCAAAATCGGCAATCTACTGTGTGACCAAATCGCAGTTGTTAAGAGGTAGGCTAAACTGATGGAATCATTCACTGTGCTACAATTCCGCTAGTCTAGCACTTTGAATAGGTTCATCCCTTCACTGCCAGTTTTGTCATCTACATGAGAGCCGCCATATGCGTTCCGCAAATGTGGGAAATATGATGTGTCCAAAGGTCTTATTGCTAGATCAGTGGTTTATTTCGACTAGGTAAATGATGGGATTTCCACACATGCAGCAAACTTCTACTGGTTGAGTCCCATATTCCTACCTTGTGCTTGCCTCCGGGTCCCGCTGCGAAAGTGCCCGGTGTTTGCCCGTTCGTTCGATTGCTCTCAAAGTGCTCCATTCGTTGAGCTACATTGCGGGATAATGCCACAATGCAGCGTCTGTTTGACTCCGGCGTTTCTCTATACATGCTTTTGGCCGCGTTTCTTTTTCCGAAGTGCACTAATTTGTCTGCGTCGAATGGCACCCGTTTGTCCTTTGAGCAGTGGCTCTTTTACGGTTCCGATTCCGTATCACAATATGAGGACAGTTAATATCCGGGATCAAAAATTTAACAGTTTGGCCTACACAGGTTTTATTTGTTTGTTCCCTAAGCTCCCAGCTGGTTATTCCTGATGTTCTCTTTGATGTTTGCGCGATACTGTCTCTTGTCTTTATGCAGTTGATCCGTCCTGTTTTTCAGCTTTTGTCCTGACGAGACGCACACCTTGTTCTTCGGCATCATTCAACTGTGAGATTGCAACAGGATCATCGATCGTATTTAGAGGACACTTTTCTGATCAATTTACGGGTATTTATTGACGTCTATTTATTTTCCGCCGTTGAAATGTGGAGACTGGGCGTATACCCATCTTTTCAACTTATCACCGCTACACTTTTGACCGCCTACCTCTGTTTCCCCATCAGAACTCACGGAACCGACCATATTCCGGTTTATCCATTTAGAAAGGGTCTGGAAAAACTCGTGTTGTCGAGCAACAAGGAAGTATATAGCGCGTTTTTATCCCAACTCCGACGATATCTGCGCGCGTACAATACCACTATTTCATTGGTTGATCTCCTAGTGGAAGACGATATCGGTTCGAGCTGCTTTGGTGATATCATCTCCATTCTACATGATATAGGTCGTCGCAAGGCCTCTGGACTTCAGTGTAAGACAGTGGTTTGTTTATGGACACCTTACTTGTCTAGGGCTCGACGCCATTGGGAGACCACCACCTGGTTTGAGTATCGGGGCTCTACACTGGCCAGGAAGTTTTCAGCTTTGTATGAGTATCCCAGAGCACATTCTCCCGGCAAACACCACAATGGCGTCACGTTATTGTACAGCGATTTTTAAAATTCCCGTACCGGTAAAACTCCCCGATTATCTTGTAAGTCAGTATTTGGTTTGTGATCCGCTTCTGTAGCATTTTGGGGTTGATGTTGGTTTTTGTATTCCACGTTCATGCAATGAACAGCATTTCTTCAAACTATTGGATAGAGGTAAGCTTGGACAGTCAAACGTCACAGCTCTGCAGTTATGTCCAGGTACAACGTGGAGGTGGACAAGATCGCAACGTATTGTCACAGCAGTCCAGATAATCTGCCAAAGGACGCTTGGTTCTGGGCCGCGATGTAAGTACGGTTCACCGCAAACGCTTTTGTGACGAAACGCTATTCAGTATTCCACCCACTCATGTGAGAGTTCGAATTTATCTCCAGTTTACCTCAAAGCTAGCCTTTATCATTCCAACCTAATGTCTTTCTCAGCACGGTAGCCAGTCACAATTGCGTTGACCACCTGTCCACCTTTCCTTTGTACCTCAATCTTTCCCTCAGTTTGGAATGTGTGTGGACCCACCGCTGAGCAAAATGCACCTGGTTTCGGGGACGCGCACTTTATGATCCACGGCCGGCCTTAGTTTCCTTTGATGGCTTGCTTGGTAATCGGGATTGTGTTCCGTAAGCAAGGTCAATGTGTGCCGAGAAACACTGTATAGGTGTTGCTTCCTTATTGAGAACAACAGCTCCCGAATCTCCAAGGGCATTCAAACTCGCACAGTGGTCAGAAACTGAACCATCCGGTTGACCGACAGTGTGGTCAACTCACACCACACGGTTCAGTTGGTATTTCACTGGCTGTTTCATATCTATGACGACTGTAGGTGTTCCCTTCAACTCCAGGGTACGATAGCTATTCGGACGGGAGACGTGAACACCAGCAAAACGTGAGCTAAAATATGTGCGCGCGATTTTCATCTCCGATAACAGGTTCATCACCTTGTGATCGCTACCATGATAAATTAGCCGGTGCTTATCCTGCAATTTCCCGGAACTCATATGAATCGCCTGACTGAACCTTAATGGAACACACTACTCATGAATGTGCTGAGGACCGTTCAACAGCCTACAACCGTTTTTGCTCCTTTTGGGTCTTATCAAGTGGGAGAGTCCCCGAGATTACGTTAACCTCATGTTTAATGTGAATGAATGGCCGGAGTGCTTGAGGTCGGCGACTTGCGCTCGTTTGCACACCGCACAGGTCTTATGGGGAAAACTCAACTGAATCGCAGCTGAACCTGTCATTTGTTGTATCCTTTACCCAAGCATACTTAATGTACAAGGGCTGCCTAATTTTTTTGGCTGGTGCGATATTCTGGACATTGTAGTGTATTTTCTTGACGGGCGCACTACTCATAAAATTGCTAATTTACCTTACAAGTGATTGTATTTTGCCAACACTGCCAAGTAGAGTTGCTGTTGTAGGATTGCTTTTTCATGGCAATTAAGATCTGGAACACCCCTTCTTACCCTGCTTTTGCGTAGAAATGAAATCCCACAGTCTCAAATATCACATAGTTCCTCTTCGTTATATCCGTGATAAGCAGACCGTCAGCAAGCACTACTCATTAGGCAGTTGTAGTCGTAGCTCGCCATCGGCTTTTCTCTTCATAAGGCTCATCTTGTGGACCTAGTCGCGAGTCTCGATCAACCTTGTTCCTGAGTAGGACACCAAATTTCACGCTTGTCGCGATGAATACGTGTTCGAAAATAAAGTGCAACTGGTAATGGGAACAGTCTTCCGTGGCCTCTTTACAATTATTCTGCCTTTTACGGCTGTTTTAACAACCTCTCTCAGGGTTTCGCCTTGGGACGCACGCTCATGTAACAGCATATTTTGCAAAGTAGTTGGTCTGTCGTTGCTAACTAGGCCCGCTCAGTACTTGGATGGTGTTACGAAGAGTCCTCAAAAATATTGTGTCATGCTTGTTTGCTCTCAGTTTACTACATGCAGGGCCACTCACTCCCTTTACCGCTCGACATTGCTACCAAGAATTGTGTTAATAATCAATGTCTAGGTTCAGCACTTTATGTGCTTTTAGATGGGCTGTTTACTACATGCAGGGCCACTCACTCCCTTTATCGTTCGACATTGCTACCGAGAATTGTGTTAATAATCAACGCCTAGGTTCAGCACTTTATGTGCTTCTAGGTGGGCTGTGGAGACTGTTTTATCTAATACCGATACTGTGTTTTATCCTGCTGTTAGTGTGTCTCTCCTTGGTCTGGGTATTCCCGTGGTAATCGCCACAGCGTTGGAACTATTTATCTGGCTACGGTGGAAACATGAGGCCAGAAACTCCAGCCGTTTACAGAATTTAACCTTTCCCAATTCGGATGAAGCTGGGAACGTTGAAGCGCTCATGGAAGACAGTGGCGAACAAGAAGCACAAGGACTACTGGGCCACGAAATAACGGCCATTTCAAACCACGCTGATTTTCGTGCGGGTACGTGTGATCGATGTCTATCGTGTCTATGGTTTCGTTCTGTTGGCCTGACTTACGAATATTGTTGACTAGTGCTAGTCTCTCACTGAAGTCTATTCAAAATCATTTGAGTTTAATCGACTCGTTCACTTTTGGTATTTTGTTTCATGGTCGCCGCTTATCTCTTGCAAACAGCCTGGCATATTCCAACTGAGATTTCATCCTTTAAGCAAAGCTAGCCTACGCTGAAATACCGAGAAGCATCGCACGCCTGATTCATCCTTGTTGGGAATCGTCAACAGTGTGAATCTCATGAAACTCTGAGTTTCGAATCGCTGATGTTCCTGTCAGTGTTTGAACAGCTGACCGCTTGGTCACGAGCAGCTGATCAGTGCGCTGTCTAAACGGCACTTGGATAGGACCCAACGCCACTCATGCTTGAGCCCGGGGAAACCAGATCACGCGATCACATATTCACCGGCTTCTTGGGTGACGACTTATGAGCTTGAAGTTTCACTCACTCGGTGAAGTTCTACTTCGTCTGAGCGATCTGTACATCAGTACTGGTGTGAGGCAATTTGGTTTCCCAAAGTCAGAGAAAATTTTCGAAACATCAGGGGTGAAATCTCGACTCCATCGGGCAGCATACTGACCCTCATTCTTCCCATGTTTGGCCTAGTAGCTATTCACGGAAGGGGTAAATTGGATAAAGACTTTCTGTATTCGACACATGAATGTACAAACTTGTGTTTTCTCGGAAGCGAAGTATTGCCAACCAGGGGCAGCGCTTTACTGTTTGTGATGATACCAATCAAGCCAGAAACTACACGAATTCTGTCTGGAGCACTCACCAGACACCTCCTGGGAATACGTGACCACTTTCGAGAGATCCGGTGTTGTAGGTTTTCCCTAGGAATCTTTGTTATTTGATGTGATATCACTGGCCATTTGTTGCTCCACTGGCGCGGGGTCGCCTACCTGGATGAGACAGCTCTTGTCTCAGTTGTAGCCACAGTGGCACTCCACCAAAGGAAGCACCAGACCGGCATTTTCGACCCAGTGAAAGTAAACCTCGTGGACAAAATAATTCATAATCCGTTTACTGAACACTCTGGCGTAGCTAATGTTAATTGAGGATTCGGTCAAATACTAAATGAAACTGAATTTGATCGAGATTTCCGACCAGAACTGAGTCTAACGTCTAATACTTCATTTGTGTTTAACCTATATTGTTGCGTTTAATCATCGCCCAGGCTATAGCGACTCTCCGTGCTTCCGCCAGACTATCGCCGTTCTGGGCTACTCCTACCTGTATAGTGCGGCTGAAAGTGCTTGAGTTTTCCTGGCTGGTAGTGGATTGGAGTATCGTACCTGTGGTTCTACATACAACCGCAGACCATTCAATTTTTCCTCAAACTCACTCGAAAACCCCTTCTTGATTCCAAGCCCGTCACTTTGAAACCTCTTCGTAGGGAACACTGCATCATTTCACGGTGACGTAGAGCCTCGTTTGTTGCTGTTCAGGTGGTCTGAGTTGGATGATAATGTCACCCCGATAGGCGAGCTAGCAAGCTAGCTGCCGAGCCCGGCGAACAAATCAACAGCCAACTGACCAAGTACCTACCGGTGAATAGACGGCACATTTCCAATAGTTCAATCTCGTTCACGCTAGCCATGCAGGGTGGCACTGTGGCACACCTGTTCAATGCAGGGTTTTGAAACTGCGTTTCGGTAGCGTGACAGCCAAAATACCCTAGGGGATTACAGACAGGTAGCAGTTAAAATTTCTGAAATGTCGTTAGTGCGGTACAAGTACTACACGTATGTTGATTTCAAGTCAGCTCACTGATTTAGGTGTGAACTTGCTGACCGGATGGTACTTGGTTCGAACCCAAACTCCGTCTTCTCGAGTGCTCTTGTCTACGCCAGGACATCGGAGTACCCTGTCAGCTCTCCCTCTTCGTTCTGGTGGCATGACAACGAGGCATCCAACCAGTGTTACAGCCGAACGATTATTTTTGTCATTGTACGGTTGATTCTACCGAACCGAATAATGGGTTCTTGAGATACCTAGAGATAGGAAATTCACCCTTTTTTGTTCAACTCTCTGGATATTCGACACAAGCCTGTGATGCATTCTGGTGCAATTTTATGATAGATGAAAGTCATCTTGGGCCAGGAGGTTTGTTAACTTCCGTTTGTACACCTCCCCTTAATTTTGCTTTCCACCGCCACGAACACCTATGGTGGAGCAAGTACATTCTTGTTACAAAGAGCTAATCCCAGCGTGCCCGTTTTGATGAGATCCATTGTTTCATTGTTTCTCTTCGCTGCTTTTGTTCAAGGTTTCTTGAAGCGACGGGGATTGCCTGTTGAAGTTTTGATGACATTCTCCTTGCCTTGGAACACTTGGAAATGGTGGACGTTTGCTTGGATCAGCATTGTCTGCACGCCATATACATATGGAAGTTTTCAAACCTGATCGATTTCCAGCTTGCCTTGGAACACTTGGAAATGGTGGACTGTGTCAGGAGGACACGCGGAAGGGCCGGCCCATCCTCTTGCCTTCCTTGATGGAATTCGCGTGATCACCATGATTTGGATTATGTTTGGTCATTGCATATTTTTCTCATGCGCAGTCGCTAGTAAGTCTTGCACACTTTTCGTAAAACGCAACAAATGTTTCGCTATGTACTCATTGTTTTTACACAATTGGGCGCAAGCCTACCCCTGAGAAGGTCGGCGGTGCTGTGGTATCAAATTATACGCTGCCGTCCAGAAAAAGAACATTCAAAACCGTGCTCACTTCCACCGAAATCAGACATTTTACTTCTCCATTAGATGTCCCGCTCAAACCCTATCCGGGAATCCTCAACTGATGTCCCCGGATCTTCCTGGGGCACACATATTTAGAACAGTTCGGAGACTACAAGACTCTGCTTAACTGTAGAAACGAGTCTTCCATGGCAAGCTCAACTACTCGTAGAGAAGCTTTCGGCAAAACCAACACGAAGACTGTTCACAAGCCTTAAGGACATCCAGTTTAGTCAACTTAGTGTAGAAAAGCCAGCCCCTAGACCTATGGATATAAATAACACAAAATGTATTCACAAATTTCAAATATATTCTCTTTAGTCGACTGGGCGTAGAACAGCTAGCCGCAGTCAAAGGAATCTGACCCAGTTTGTCGACGGTGTACATACATTCATACATTTGACGTAATATGAAGATGTGGTCAATGCATCCCACAACTGATCGAAGTCCTACCTGCCCTTTTCGGTCTTTCGTCAGACATGTCGTGATATTGTTGAAGCGGGTAGCTTTGGCTTTAGCAGTCGAATATGGAAAGTGATCTTTGCTTACTCTCCCCAATAAAGGCAACTTCGTTTGTGTTCTTTAATTCGTCTTCCAGATAATCTGTTTGCCTATGCACAAGAGAACTTCCGTCGCTGGACCTTCCAAGTTATAGTGAGTGCTACTCTGTCTGTGGACGTCTTCTTCATGATGTCGTGAGTGTATTCAGTTGCTGTTCATTTTCGTTGTTAATCTTACACCCGAAATAGTTTCCATCTTACGTGCTTGCTTCACAATTTCATGCCAGTCTATTGGAAATCGCCGAATCCTTTGTCCATCATAACCACGGTGACTGTTTGCCGTCTTCTGCCAACACTTCTGGACCACCTCGCTTGTTTATTCCATAACTGTACTCCTGAACTGGTCCCAGTCATTTCACGGCTTGTTCTCTTATGCTTATCCACTGGTACCCTTCGCACTCTCAAACGTGGCGTTTATTATTCAAACCGCCTCAACTCACTCTCGACAGCTTGTTCTTACCAAACAACTCCGCGATCTTGAAGACAACACCCTCTTGAGTGACCCCAAAAGGGAATTCAGGCACCACAGTTCCCCGAGTGATAGGTTAGCCTGCATGTTACAAATTTGGTTCTCCTCTCTTGAATCCGTTGTGGGAACGAATGTGGATCTCGTAGGCTTTTGCTCGTGTTTGGAGTGCAGATATATTTCCGACTTTCATATGTATCCAAATTTAATCGTTTGCCTCAAATGCTTCTCACACATCCGTCCTGTTCAAACACCACTGGATGACTTTGTCTTCCGGCACTGGAGTTCTTCTGGGATGCATTCTCTCCCAAACATCGTTAAGTCTATATATGAGTGATCTCCTTCCGTATGTTGTTGGTCCTATCGATATCTTTGGAAATACCGCGACGTGTCCATTTCGTCCTGTCGCTCCCAGTGCTCTACCGCATCCTAACGCTGTGACGACTGGACGCAAACCATTAGTGCCCTGAACATCTTTCTTGACTGGGTCTCGTCGAATTCAGCCACGTTGGATCCTTCTAACTCTTTCCGTATATACACCCTCGATGGTAATTCCACTCCAGACTCAAAGCATTTAATGGTTCCACTACCACCCTTCAGTCCTCGTCATTCTTGCACTATCTTTTTTGGTTGTCCTTGGAAGGCGGGCATCTAGGAGTGTTGGTCTCCTTTTTCAGCCACGCAAATGCTTCCCCTCTCCCCTTCGTTGTTTCCATATTCACCATACTCTAGAGTAATTCTGTCAAGTTCTTTGGGGGAAAGGGGGTTGCTTTGCCTATTTATTCCTTCTTGGTTTCATTCACCGTCAAATTCCTGTCACCCATATCAAGCAACCACCACACACAGTAAAATTGCACTCCTTCCAATCGTCTTCCTCTTAGAGCATACCCCCAACTTTTCAAATGCCGAAGTAACATTCCTCTCAACCCGGTTTGAGATTTACGCTATTTCCTGTATGTCTTTGTGTTCTTTTGGTCGCTCTTCACAGAGTTTATTCCTTTCGCAGCAAGTCACACTGTGTGATAAACTACTTTATATTGGTACCGAAGGAGGATCCGGTGCCGTGGAAGCACAGTTATCAGTTTGACAGTCTCATGTCCCCCGTCTCCAGGGCATGTATTCAGAGGAACAACGCCAACCAGTTTCGCCGGTTCACTGAGTCTTATGTCTTACATCATTTCAGTACTTCTCTAGCGCCTCCTTCTTCCTTTACAACGTGGCTCAATTCCTGAACTCACCATTGTGACCCGTCAATCACTTCAGTATGAATTTATTTCTAATCCTTGCCGTGATTGTTTTCGCGGCACTCTTCGCATGTGACTCGTGTTTTACTAGGAGAGATTCTGGCACTTCTTGTCTAGGAAGGCCGGTTTTCAAAGAATTCCAAAGTATCCAATAAAGATTTCGTCCTCACACTGAAGCTAGTCTATGTTGTAAATCCAAGAAGCACTGTACAGCCATTTCACGCCTTTTGGGAATCATCAGCTATGCGCATCTCTCATAATTCCGAGAGTTTCGAACCCGCGACATTCCGGCCAGTGTTTGAACACTTGGCCGTTTGGCCACGAGTAGTGTGAGTAGCTGTCACTTGGATAAAAATATCGCCGGTATAATATTTGTACATGCAATATTCTGTACGGTGCTTCCCGGGTTTCAGCATAGGTTAGCTTAACTGACTGGATGATATCTCCATTGAATATTGCCGAATCTCCTCATATTACCATGAAACCAGAGGCGGGATAACTCCACTAGATGTGTGAAACCTACTCCTGGGAATTCGTAACTCGTGATGTGTTTTCCGTGATTGATGAGTGGCGTTATGCCCTGTCCAATTACGGCTGATTTGCGGCTTGTGTTCAACCGATGACCGGGAATTTGCGGGTTCAAAATTGTCTGAGCTTCATAAAATAGTGCCTCTTTGGTAGTACATTCCCATGTCAGCTCAAGGCGTGTTTTTTTCCTTCTGTGTGATAAAAGTGTATTTTGTGTAACCCTGTCAGTTTAGTTTTGCGAGAGTGAAATATCCGAGAGAAGTACACGCTGAGTCTCATCCGTTTTTATATCGGCAGTCGTTCAGAGTGTTTGGTCTACCTTTTCCATGCTTACGCTGTAAACACAACCGCGCTGGACTATTGATATATTCAAACAATGATTGTTTGTACCGTTCGTCACCTGACCGCAATAATGTGTCATCCGTGCACTCGTTCAGGCCTGCGTGGTCCTTGAGATTGGCCACAAGTAAACAGGCTCTGAAAGAATCGGAGTTTGATAGAGCTGAGAGTAAACAGAACTGGACAGATTTAGCCTTCATTCGGAGCGTGTGCGCTTGGATTACTCTGTTCACGTTTTAGGTGTTTCGGCACCTAATTGCTCCTGTCTGGGATTAAGCGACCTGACAGTATCACAACTCCCGCGCTTCCTCCGGGTGGCTTGATAGCTTGACACCGAAAAGGTGCCACAGCTGAACGACTGTTAATTTTTCTAAATTTTGTCTCATTTCAGCGGCTTACTCTGCGTTTACACGGCATTGCCTCGATTCAATGCGGTTCACGGAGTGGCTGGCCGAGCTCGTTTCTGGTTGGTATTTGTATGTCATCGACTTCTACGGTATGATTTTTCCCCACCTTTGTTGCGTGTTTTATTTCGCTGCAGTTGCATTTCATTAATTTGACCAAAATTTATACATTTTCGATACTCTGCACAAATACTCCAATGTTAATTCTTGACTTTCCAGAAACGTTGTTACATAATCACCGGGACTGGCGGTGAAAGAACATGGCATTGCCTCATTTCTGTCTCTCCATGTCGCATCTTCTTAAATGCCATGTGGTCTTGGCTCCTTGTAAAATCAACGTGGTCTTCCCGCACTTACTGTTTTGGTTAAAATTTAGCGTAGAATCACTGACTCCACATGATCTTGACTTGTCGTTACCTGCTCATCTGTGATTTGTGTGTCTCCAGAATTGTAGCCAAAATTCGAACTTCGAATACTGGCACAATTTTACCGGCAATACCTCAGCGGAGTTCTCGGACTGATCCAACCGAGATAGCGTTTTTCGTAGAAAAGTATACCAAGCGTACACGAAGTTTATTAAAACGTAAAAAAAACGGTCACAATACCGGCTCTCAGTGGGTACTGGAATATGCCCGGCTGTTGGGCTCACATTTTTTACTAATCTGCGTGTGCCTTGAAGTTGGACCGGCAAGCTCTCTGATTTTCGAGTCACCTACACGTGAAATAACCTCAGTAGACGTTGTAGGAAACAACTGTTTTTCAAACTTGATCGATTTCCAAGAACTGTTTGACCCATAAGCTACGTACATTTTCCCCTCGCAGGTTTGTAACAGCGTTTTGTGTCACGAGTTTGCCTATTGTGGGCTCTAGTTGAGTTACTTGGTTGAGTTTTAATGCATCAGATTACCGGACAAGGAAATGAATCACCATGTACTTCGGACTACTTTCAATCACCTAAGATCGAGACATATGTTGGACCAGTTTTCGGATGAAATTTTTTGT